TATATATTTTGGTTATCTCCAATGAGAAAAAGGTTTTATTGAACAAAGTTACAATTACACATTGAATATTATATCAACTTTTTACCATCTTGTTATTTTGCAATTACTATAGGTACCAGAATTTGATCTAAAGTATGCAAACATGTATGTAACTATGAATTTGGTCTAAAGTATGGAAACATGTTTGTAACTATGAGATACTAAGAAATATCCATAAATAGATAGTGTTGAAGAGAACAACAGCCAGTCCCAGCTTTTTATCTCAATTTTAGTCCACTAAACTAAATTTTATCGAACTCAGCCATGAAAAAAAAATGTTGCTGGACTAAAATTGCTACATCCGGGAAGTTAATGAACTAGTTTTCCATTTTCAGTCTAAGGGGGAAAAATATGGTTTAACAATCTGAAAAATAACTAGATGTTTGAGGACTCCTCTTGATGGCAGAGTAGAGAATATTATTCATTCAGATATTCAAAAACTCAGGCAATAAAATTCCTTCATCGGTTTCCTTTAGAATTTGCCTTCATTATTAAGGCGGCACCTTCCCCATGCTAGAACCCACCACATAAATCTAAGAGCTGTTTTAGGCAATTAAATTTTTCGGGGAAGAATATACCCATTATTATCAAGATCAATTATTATAGTCAACAAAACACAGTAACATTAGTGGTGCAAGCACTTAATCATATTCACTCGATGACCAAAGTAGACTTCTACATAAAAGAGATTAAATATNTTACATGCAGAGCGTGTTTCAAAGATCAACCTGCATAGAAATATCCTTGATCAAAAAATATCTCAACAATTTATATTGCAACTTGCGGACGGTGTTCATAAATTTTAGTCTTCAGACAGTTATACCATCCCCTAACATCACATTCGTCTTTAACAGACAACAAAAGAAAACAAAACACATATACACAAAGATTGCCATTTTTACAAAATCCCAGTTTTTGAGGTGTCAATGCTCCAAAACAACCCACAGCGCCCTTTACAATGAGATCATGGAAGTTTTGGACGGCCCTCCAAGACATGGATAAGAATTCTTATATATGACTATAATCTATAATATAAATATAAATTGAACATTATATATCGATCATTAGCCCTTCCCAGGCTCCCAGTAGATTAAATATCCACAATTGCACCTGATTTCACTCACCAACTTGGTCTATTACTGGCAGCTAAGACCGTGGTATAAATATGTGCCCAAATCATATATAAAATCCATGCAAACATGTTCAGATCCATTAAAAAGTTCCTTACTTCATATACAAAGAAACAAGATATGAACAGCAGATTTTGCCAGACGAGCATTATTCTGCCTCAATGGCAGTAGAGGTCCACTCCTGTACAAAAAATTCCAGTGAATTTAAAACTATGTCTAAAGCACATAGATTTTAGAATTATTCGTTTATTCTTATACTTCATTCTGACATTAAGACGTTACCAAAATAGTTTCAGCCTGTGTCCACCAACTTGATCATTTTATACATAAAGCCACTAGCTGACTTGCCACAAAAGTAGATGTACAAGTAATCATGTTTAAGGTTCCTCAAATTGATCTGAAAATGTAGCCTGCCAGTAAGTAAAACCCAAAATAGCACTACAATCTAGCATAATTTCAAAAAGATCACAAAACTTTTCCCTATTCCATCTCCAGCTCGTGCACTGAGCACATTTTCCAGTCTTTTTGTTCAGCCCTCAAAGAAGCAACACACAAGCAAATATTGAAGCCAATACTACCGCATATATATCCATTTGCAACCTAAAACTGGATAAGGGCATAATATCAGCAAATGAAGCCTTATATACACACTACATTGCAAATTACACTCCTACAAGTCCTCTACCAAACACTTCATACATAAACAGATACAGCCCACACAGAATGTGGAAGTGTGCAATTATTCTAGTCTGGGACTTCAATCCTCTTTTCATTTGAGCAATCTAGAAAATAAAGGGGAAATAATTACTACAGGAGCAAATGGTTGCCATTCATTATTTAAAAAAAAAAAACACATAGCCAACATGACAATCACAACAGGTACCAACCTAATCTTTCGCCCGTCATCTCTCCGAATTTTGCTTCACAAAATTCAAACAAACAGTCCTTTCTTGAAATGTATACAGCGACTCTAATAACTAAAAAAAGCATAAATGTAACTTTTCTTCATTTACATGAAACAGTTCCCAATTTCAATTAAAAAATTAAACATTCGTATCCATAGCATTTACACCATTTGTAGCGATCACCATATAAGCCCAATAGTGTATCTAACATCAGCTCATCGGTATAATCTATCATAACTACATATATTTCTCACGAATTTCTACATGAAAAGTGGCCAAAGGAACGCTACTGAATTACCTGCTTGATATCGATATGTTTCCTCGAGTTGGTAAAATACGCAACGGTTGCTGCAGAAGCGGCGACAACGGCGGCCGCCACTGAAGAATTCGCCGCGTATTAGTCCAAAGGCGCGAAGAGGTGCAGATGTACCGACTTGGCTATCTCGAGCTCAATGTCGTTCGAAGGTTCATATTTCAAAAATTTTGAAATCTCAGAGCTATCTCGGGCTCATGTTTGTTTATAAAATTTTTTGGTTTTATTTGGATTTTTGATTTAGTTTAATTAATTTTGAAAAAAGTGGTATGATTAGTTGTTAGTATGTATATTAAAATAATATTTAAAATAAAATAATATAAATTGATTTGATGTAAAAGTAAGAGATAGAGATTTGAAGTGATGGTTAGTTAAAATGATGTGAGTGGATGAATAATGAATTAAGGTTGATGTGGTGTGTAGTAATGATTGATTGATATTATTTAATTATATTGATAATTTTGATGATAGTGGGGTTGAGTTAAAGTTGAGTTAAAAAAAATGATTGAGTTAAAATATTGGAAAATTTTTGAGAAATTTCATAAACAAACAAGCTTACCTTTTCATCTTCAGTGTTATTCACTGTTGTATACATATGTAAATTATGTAATATAAATAATGTACTGTAATAATTATTCCAACAACGGGACTGTAGTTATTCCATGTAAGTTATGTAGTGTAGATCACTGATTGAATCATTCCGTAAATGGGATTGTAGTTATTCCCTAAGTTTTAAACTAATTAGGCTTGATAAATATGTCATTCTACATAACTTATTGAACTTTTAGACTATGTGGTAAAACTAATTGATAAACTAGTTGGTAATTGATAAACTACCTGACAAGTTAGCATAGTTGATAGTTGACAATGAAGAACAATTTTAGTGGTAAGACAGCTTCACATATGACCAATAGGTCATAAGTTCGATTCACCGAGGAGGAGACGTGATAATACTATTAATCTTCCTTGAAAAAAAAATAGTTGATAGGTTATATATGAAAAATTTCAAACTTATAGATTATGACTTATGACTGATGAACTGATAAGTCAGCTGAAATGAAAATTACAACGGGCTTATTTGAAAAGCTACCTATCAACTGAAATGAAAATTCCTACCGTTTATTTGAAAAGCTATCCAAACCAATCTTATTTGTATACAGAAAGCTTATGAGATAAGTTTGAGCTTCTTAAAAAAAATCGTTCTACCAAACCAATCTTATTTGTATATAGAAAGCTTATAAGTTGTAAACTAACTTATGGTTAGACATGGCCGACCAGGCACGGACTCAGCCCGGTCAAACCCGTTGACAACGAGTCCGGGACTGGACCGCATTTCAAACGAGCCGTTTAAGGATGGCCCACTTTTTCTATTTTTTTTTTTAATTTTTTCAATTGTTCTTTCTTTTTAAATGACTGACCAGGTCCGGACATGACCTGGCCCGATCAACAGGGTCATTGACCCGGCACGAGTATAGGTCCGTACTGAGTATGGGTCAGTATTTTCGAGCTCGGCGGGCCGGGCCGAACCGTGACCCGCCCCGGGTTTGGCAATGTCTACTTATGGTGCTTATAAAATAGGGAGTATTTACACGATAGTGATGATAGTGTGGAAGTGAACTAAAGCATGTTCTATGGTGACTTTTCGTTCTCGTGTTAACAAATTAAATGACTTTGTAGATATGGAAATTATTGACAATAAAAATAAAAAATAAAACTAGTACAACCCTGTAATATTCTGGTACTTAATTAAAAAATTAATGCTTAATTATTTGTAAAAGGAAGAGATCTGTTTATTTTAAACTAGTGTGTACCCCGTGCGATGCACGGGAACAATATTAAATTAACAATATTATAAATAAACCTCGAGTTTGAGTCACTTGATGATGGAAGTGGAAACTACTATTGATCCTATTTAAAAAAAGAAAGAAAAAAGATAATTATAAATTAAAGAGGAGGATAAACAATACTTAATAATTATAAATAAAAAATTTGAGGTCAAACAATGTAAAACTATTTTATATAAGAGAATATGAAATTTACGTTATTTTGTATAAGAGAATATAAAATTTGTATGTTTAATATTAAAAATACCTAAAATATTATATTAGTATATGTAAAAGTATTCAAAAAATTTTATATTATTTTTGAAAGATGTGAAGTCACCTATAACTTTTTTAAACAATTTTAGAAGAAAAACATATCTAAAAATATTTGAATTTAGCATTGTGCAAAAAAGATTTTTCTACACTATTTTGTAAAGAAAACATGTCTACAAATATTTAAATTTAACATCAATTATGTATATGTGTATGTATATATATATATATATAGATGAATATGTAAAAAAAAATGTCTAAACAATTTGTTTAAAATATCTAAAATATTATAAGAATAATTTAAAAAAGACATTATGTCAGAAGATACCGAATTTATGGTTCCATCTAAAAAATTTGATTACGCACCATTATTATTATACTT